TGTCGTTGATAATGGTCAGGTAAAATGTGTAAGCAGTATCCATACCTAGCATGTTGTACAGTGACTGTGGTTGATAATGGTCAGGTAAAATGTGTAAGCAGTATCCATACCTAGCATGTTGTACAGTGACTGTGGTTGATAATGGTCAGGCATCTTGTGCATTGCTTCCTGATAAACATCAATAGCTTCCTAGAAAACAAAAAACTGTATTAGTAAGTTGACTATGTACATATAATAACAACAGATGTGAATAATATATTTTAAACATCACTACAGGAACAATTTTTATACAAGCAAACTGAAACACTTTCCAGCCTGATTTAATATAAAATCATGAATTCTATATGAAAACCAAAACAAAACAAATGTTGATTATTTATTTAAAAAACTCAGTTAAAGCAATATTAAAAGTACACAGTACTTTGAAAACTGATGAAGGCAACTAATTTATAAAATATCTAGAAATTTAAAATTTAGGCTTAAAGAACGTAAGTAAGCTACAGAAAGACGAAAAATTATTATATACAAAGTCTTTCTTGTTCCTACATTATTATATACAAGTCTTTCTTATTGCTACATTATTATATACAAGTCTTTCTTGTTCCTACATTATTATATACAAGTCTTTCTTTTTGCTACATTATTATATACAAGTCTTTCTTTTTGCTACATTATTATATACAAGTCTTTCTTGTTCCTACATTATTATACATTATATACAAGTCCTTCATGTAAGTCTTTCTTGTTCCTACATTATTATACATTACATACAAGTCCTTCATGTAAGTCTAGCTTGTTCCTACATTATTATACATTACATACAAGTCCTTCATGTAAGTCTAGCTTTTTCCTATATGCGCATTGTAAGCAAAATTTAAGAGTGGTTTTATCAAACTAGGAAACATGTTTATTACACCTAAGTACACACTTAGAATGATGTATTAAAAACACTGCTACATACATGGTACTTTCCTTCATCGGCGTACAAACGACCCAGATTGAAAAGTGCCGATATTTTAGTACTTTCATGCTTCTTAGGATCTTTCAGGCCTGCACTGTCTAGCTGGGCACAATGGCGGTAAACCTAAATGACAAAATGGCTCAGAAAGATTCACAGAAGTGTAGCCATTTGAATGTGTAGTAGAAGTGTAGCCACTTGAATGTGTAATAGAAGTGTAGCCACTTGAATGTGTAATAGAAATGTAGCCACTTGAATGTGTAATAGAAGTGTAGCCATTTGGATGTGTAATAGAAGTGTAGCCATTTGAATGTGTAATAGAAGTGTAGCCATTTCAATGTGTAATAGAAGTGTAGCCATTTGAATGTGTAATAGAAGTGTAGCCACATGGATGTGCAATAGAAGTGTAGCCACATGGATGTGCAATAGAAGTGTAGCCACATGGATGTGCAATAGAAGTGTAGCCACATGGATGTGCAATAGAAGTGTAGCCATTTTAATGTGTAATAGAAGTGTAGTCATTTCAATGTGTAATAGAAGTGTAGCCATTTGAATGTGTAATAATTCCACGAAGGATCTTTTCATATGTTAATGTGATACGAAACTATAGAGAGAGAGAGAGAGATTTCTTTCAATGAGCTAGAATACAAAGACCGGTCTTATCTGCAATGTTACAATATATTTGCTTGTTTCTTCAATTATCAGTTTGCAATGATGAAATTCAGTTGAAATACGTTATTATCTTAAGGATATAAAACACGTATTTTATAATTCGCAAATACTGTTTTTACTGTAACTTGATATTTTAACTTTCAAAGGTTCTTCTGTTTTATCCTACGTGTATAATTTATTTTAGAAAGTATGTCTAGTAATAAACTTTACTTAATGTTGAAAAATTAAGATTACAAAATCTTCATACTTAAACATTGATCAAAGCTGATATAACTTTGAAAATTCAAAATGAACATACCACATGAATTATATTGTACTATAATAACGCATGCATTCATTGTTTCACAGTTTTCGTTTTAACATTAGAGACGAAAACACTTATCTTCTGCAAAAACAAATATCACACAAAACTTATTCAAGGCCATACTTACTTCAATAGCTTCTTCTTTTCTTCCCAGAATTCCCAGCACTAACCCCATATTGAGATGGGCCACTAAGTAAAAATAAAGATTTTAAAAATAAAAACTTTGAACCAGAAAGTAGGCATTAAGTACAACATCCAATTATATTTCGAATATATGTCATGTGGTCAATTATGTATTTAATTTTCTGTAAGGTGGTCAACAATATTTATTATCAAGTCAGAAAAAATGGTCTTGTGGTCGTTCAGGTTTCAGATGAAGGTTTGAGTTAGCACTTTCCAAAACAAAGTCTGAAAAGTCAAACAAATTGATGTCTATTTCAAATATTTTGTTGCAAATCTTGCAATGGCATTTCAAAAAGAAACATTATACAACTTATAAATAGATACACCAGGACTCTCCAAATAATATCTTAACTTGCTTGCTATTAATTTGTATGACACAAGTTTTAACAACTAAAGGATTTTGTATTATAAAGGTTCCAACATTTATTTTCAATGGATTGGTTTGGTTTGGGTTTCAAAATATCTTGTCATTGATCTATTTAATACAAGGACTTACATTTTGTGATGGTTTCCAGCATGTCTTTCCATAACTTAGACTGTTATGTTATTAGTTATATGATGGCTATATTTTCAGTGTTTGAAACACTTTAAAGTACTTTACCCCACAAAAACCAGACAGCTGATTACAGATCATAGTGAAAACTCATTACCCAAGCATGCTCTGGATATAATGAACATATGATGTGTACGTATATTTCAAGTACTAGAATAGGAAGATACTCCAATACAAAACTATTAAATAAGCCTTAAGTAAATGTTATTGTTTCAAAAAGTGTGTATATATATATATATATATATATATATATATATATATATA